CCCGGTCCAGAAATGGACCGGTCCCGCTCAAGCCGCTCGGCCCGTCCCGCTCCGCTGCGCCATCCCGCGTCCCTACTTCGGCGGGTCGAACGGCGCGGCGCTTCCGCGCGCCACGGGGTCGCCGGCCCTCCCTCTGCCGGTCGGCGTCGGCGGTGGTCGGCGGTGGTCGGCGGTGGCCCGCATCGGAAACTTTGTAAAATTTCTTATCTAAGTTAACATATATAAATAAACTAAATCACTTACTCCTTCCTTCGTCGTCAGAGATAGAAGAAACTTCGAATTCCAAATTTGTTTTCTTTCTCTTCCTCTTTACTGCATTCAATTTCTCAAAATTTGTAAAAATTATCATTTATCATACACAAGAATTTACATAAATCGACAGTGAATATCTAAAATTTGAGAATTAGTTAATGTTAAATTAAAGGTAATTAAATCGGAATATCTTGGTGACATTCTTCAAATTTGCTTCTCTTTCCTCTCTCAAATTTCTTCTTTCTTCATAAAGTTTCTTCCGCTGCATTCAATTGAAACATTTACTCCTTTCTTAAGTATACATCATGGAGGAAATTTAAAAAAATACGTAAAGCCGACAACTTACATCCATTCTCCTTCTTTTTCTCTACACGGTTTCCTCTCGATACAAAGCTTCTCATGTGATTTTTCGAGTGAGCGAGCAAAACTTGACTCACGAGGAGTCGTTATTTTTCACTCCTGTATGCGAATATTTGCTCAGAATCGCGAATCAAACTCGTCCGAAACCTCTCATGCTTGCATGCGGTTCGCCCAGGTGCGATTTTGCTTGGGGTTTCATCTCTTGCTGCAGTGACCGGTCGATTGAATTGAATCGACCAAACACGGTTTTTACAGGGGTGCTGAATTTGAAAGGAGAAGGGTTGATTATGATCCAAGGGTGTTGAATTTGAAAGAAAAAAGTTGGAATTTATCGAAAGGTTTGGGTACGAGTATAGAAGGGATGATTATGACACTTGGGGGGAACCACCCCCTTGGGGAATGAAAAATTATGGTTGAAACAGGGGAAACAAAGTAGATCTGAGGGTTAGGAAGCTGAAGATGCCTATTTTTTAGGAAGAGGGTGCACATAGGTGGATTTAAAGGGTAGAAATGTACTTTACCATCAATAGGCTGACAGAGGAGGAGAGACTAACGACGACCGAGATGTGCTTGGAGGGGAGAGTGTTGGCATGATACCAGTGGATGGATACGAGGCGATCCATACAAACTTGGAGGGAGTTTGAGGACCGTTTGTTGGAACATTTCTGAACTAGTAATATAGGGGACTTCTATGAGCAGTTCTTCGCCTTAATGCTGTAAGGGACGGTGGTGCAGTACCGTGAGCAATTTGAGCACCTGGCTAGCCATTTAGATTTTCTTCCAGAGACTGGATTGGAGGGGAAGTTTATGAAAGGGCTCAAATTAGATATTCGGGTGGCAATTTGAGTGATGAAGCCTCGTTATTTGAAAGAGGCTATGGAGCTAGCCCAGTTAGTGGAGGATCAGAGGCACCTGGAAAGAGGGATTGGAGGCGACATCTTAGGAGGTTCATATATGATGACCACCATCTTTTTGGCATCCACAGAGTTGACACTGGGTACTCTTAGGGAGATCCCGAAGGAGAAGGCTATAGGAGGGAGATATGGGGAAAACTTTCAGAAGATCACAAAAATAGAGCTACAGGAGAAGATGACGAAGGGGTTGTGTTTTAGATTTGAGGAGAGGTATACACAGGGGCACAGATGTAAGGACCTGACTCTTCAGGTTCTAACTGTTTGTGGTGAAGAGAAAATCGAGGAGGGAGCCATCTTTCCACCTTACCGACAAGGTGGGTATTTGGGAGGGTATTGTCTGGTCTAGCCGGTCTAGGAGGGACTGACTCCTATTGTAAGAGGCATAAAAGTTTCTCCTCAAACTCCCCCCCTCTTTTTGGGGTCCGGTCCAATAGTAATTAGAGGAGCGATTAAGGTGGATTAGGAGGGAAAATTCAAAAGAGTGGTTGTTTTGGGATTTACATCATTATTGGATGCTTTAAGTAGGTGATTTTCCTAGGGTTAGGGTTATGAGTTATTTGCTGAAATTAAATTATTCTTAGGTTGTTTGGGATATAACCGGTGGCTAGAGATTTGGGAGAGCCGGATCTTACTCTCCAATTAAAGATCCACTTGTATCTTGTCTTTTCTTTCATAAAACTTTCAATAAAAAATGTTTGTGTGTGTTCTATTCCTGGTCTTCTAAAATTGCTGAATTCAGATTTCAGCCAAGGCTTTTCCTAAGTTTCTACAAGCACTTCCTAACAATGGGCTTGTGTTTCCTGTGATTTCAAGAGTCCAGGCATGGGCCTGTCCATGAAATGAACCAGCTAGTCTAGCCCTGACTAGCAGGTCTAGCTTTTTGGATCTCAAGTACTTCCAACATTATTCTATTTTTGGATTCATTAAGAGGCTTTCACAGAAAGAACATGCCATACGAGCTAAATATTTTCTTTGTTTATAAAAAAACTTCACCCTACAGTCAAACTGTTCACACTTTTTTGACTATCATGCTAAGTTGTTTGAGAATGCTTATATTTCTGAACTTTCGCTTTATGCCAGTTAATTTGGTGGTATACAGTAAACTTGAAGAATTAGTTGTATTCGTCAACCTTTAAATATATGTGAAATTTGTTGTATTTGCAAAGCTTAAATATATATGAGATCTAAAACTTAATAAATTATGATTTTGGCAAAGCTATTTTAAACATCAGAACGTAAATGAAAAATCAACCATTGTTTGATCACTCTTTCTGCCCACATAAGTGAATGTTCCTTTTCCTGAAGCATTAGTCATTGCTTCATCATTGACCCGCAATTCTTTTTTTTGGTCTATTTACAGCATCTGTTATAACACAAATAATTGGAAACTTCTATCAAAATATGCAAAAAGATTTCTCAAAGCAGGAGTTAAATTACATCGAACTGCATATGATAATTTGATGGAGTTTGCTGCAAAAATGGGTATGTTTCTTTTCAGTCTTTTATATTTAATTGCATGATTTATTTCGCTGTAGTGTCGCCCCCTTTTTTTGTTGAATGCAGTCATACAAAGTATCTCCGCAATTACAGTATACAGCTTTTAACAAGTAAGTTTGGATTGAAGAAAACAGTAGGGAATCGAATGAAATACCAGCAATTTTTGGGTTGGTTAGGAATCCACAACAATTCATAAAAAATTTTCAACCACTTTTTGCATTTCCTTTCACTCAAATTCCTAGCATCCAAAACAACCCAAGTCTTACAAAGAAGGAATTACAATGATTGTTAGTTCTTAGAGTTTATTCTAAATTAAAAGTGCTACCAACCAAGAGATCTGTTGGTTAGGAGTTTTGGCTACCAACCAAGAGTTCTTGGGTTTGAGTCTTACGTATGTGATGATGTGTGTGTGAGTTTGTAACACCCCACAATACCCTTTAACAGTATTGAGATTGTCACATAAACATAACATTTCTCATCATCTAACATATAATATTTTTCTTCATTTGATTATTTATATAAAAAATCCAACAACTTATATTTACTATATAAATGGAAGCATCTAATAACTCAAATTACATCAAACTAATACTTATAGAACCACTAATAAAATCAAAATAATACACCAATTAACTGTCTACTTACCTCAAATATAGACTTACAAACAGAGCTAAACACTAGTATATAAAATGAAATAACTTGGAACTTATTTTGTGTCGACCTATTCATTTCCTTTTTCTGTAACAACATCCAGTATGAAATGAACTGATGAGCTATGAGACTCAATAAGTTTTGCAATTTAAATAGTAGTTAAATAGCATGATAAAAATCACCACATTGAAATCATAAATTAAATAAACTTGACATTATTTTTATAAAATAAAATAAAATCACATTTGACATTAACCTTTACTTCCTCTAAAGTCTATACTAAATATCAATTTTAGTCTTTAGTAGACTTGAAATTGATCACCATCGATTCGACTCAAGTCAAAGTAAAAATCTTCAATTTTTAGTATAGGACGACTCTCTTGAGCCCCACTCATTATCAACCCTAGGTGCCTTGGGGGTATTGTGAGATAAAAACAATGGCAAGCAAACTTAATGGTCATAATCATTATTAAACTTATATTTGTGGTGCTTTATGAATCTTTAATCTTTATTCATCCTTGCTAAGTGTTTTATGAGGTTTTATGCTTATTTTGCATAAATTTGTACAACTTTAACCAAGTTTTTTGGAGTTAAGTTTCCTAAAATGGCAATAACACTAGCTATGTTGCATGGATCCTTATGTTGAGCAATAGTTGATAACTACTAGGCTATAAGAAATGGGCACATGAAGATGGAATTATGGCATAGATAGAAATATAGAGGATGAGATGTATTTATGGGAAAGGTGGTGGCACTTACTAAGGATAAGTCTTAGAAAAAACTACAAATTATAATAATATCAACTAAGTTGCCTGATCCTAATGTTGGACAACAATTGAGAAGAACAGTTTTAATGATGTAAGAAATGAGAATATTAAGATAGAATTACAGTAAAACTAGAAATGATAGAAGGTGAAATGCATTTATAGGAAAGGTGGTGGTGGTAGCACTTATTTAAGAATTAGGTCTTATGAAAGTATATATATATTGTGTTTAAATATTTGTATATGTATATACATATTTTCCTAAGCATTAACTATGAAATATTGGGAACACCTCAAATAAAATCTGGAGATAAATACTTGAGAGGGAAAAAAATAGCGGAAGGGAGGACTAGAAGGCTATCCAGGAGCTTGAGATGCTGGTAAAGCCAATTAGTGAACAGGACATCATGGATTTGAAATTATAATATACTCTAAAGAAAATACCTTTAATTCTCAGCATTGCATCGCCTATATGTTCAAAACTTCTTGTATCCTTATATTGTGTGGTATTCTAACTTGTACACTCATATCGGTGCTATATTTTGTATGTTAAGATTAGCTTATCATACTATGCTATCCATTCTTATCAAGGGAAAATGCACCAAGGCCCAAAATTGGCTAAGGAGATAGTCTTGCCTTTTTTAGTTAGTTTGTTTATTTAAAAAAAAAAAATGAAACCCAAATGAGGCATTTGCTTTATGATGGACATGAGTCTGCACCAATTTCAGTTGGAACCCAAGAGATATAAAATAAATATTTTAAAAAGAATCTTAACTTTATTTCACATAGGACTGAATATCTACAAGCAATATTTCAAAATTAGTAATCCCCAAATAGATATTAAATCTTTCATAATATAATGCTTGAGTAGCTCCAGTAGAAGATAAGATTAGAGAGAGTCACCTTAGATGGTTTGGTCACATTAAACGGCGCGGCGGCCTTCCGATGACCCAGTTAGGAAAGTAGAGGTATTAGATTTGACTTATGTTAAGAAAGGTAGAGGCAGACCTAAAAAGACTTGGTTAGAAAATATTAGAAATGATCTTTCTTTATTAGATTTAAACGAGAATTTGACTTTTAATAGGATACAATGGAGAAAAAGATTCATGTAGCCGACCTCACGTAGTGGGATAAAGGCTTGATGTTGTTGTTGTTGTAGTATAGTTTAATGCTTGAGAATAACAACAACATGCAAGTCGCATCATTCATTGTGATAAACAACATGAGTGTAACTACATGAGTAGTTACATGATTGTATGAAGTTATAAATGAGTGCACGAGCCCCTTGTTCATATTTTGCCATTTAATGATTAGATGAACTTTATATTTGCCAACTACATTATTTGTTTATGCAGGGGATGCTAAGTCTATCTTGAAAACTGAACAACACAGATCAAAACATTTGAAATGGCACACTTTCGGAACTGGGTTTGCATGTGCTAAGGTAATCATTCTTGTCACAGTTCTTATCAAAATATTTTACAGTTAAGTGTGAGCTTGAAACTTTTTTTTTTGGTCCAAAAAGCACCTTGTCTAAGGCGGTTTTTGTTAGTGCATGATCCTTCCAAGTCTTTATTATTGGCTGAAGCTCCTGTTGAAGCTATTAGTGCTCAAATTGTTATCTTGTTTTGGAGAACTAATAATATCAGTATGTCGGTCTGATTTCAAACCAATTCGTAGCCTACTAAATGTGATGTGTAATTACTACATATAGAATTCCCTTAATGCTTGCTACTCTGCTTTTTCTCTCTCCCGTAGTTTAAATTACTGATTGTATGTAAAGCTTGATTTGGTTAGTAGCTATGGCCCCTAACTAACCCTGATAATTATAAAAGATATCAAAAGAAAATGATATTTAGTAGAAAGTGCATATTGTAAAAAGTTACACCTTTTTCTTTTCCTAGGGTCAATCGGAAGTTTTTTATTTTAAATAAATTATTCTGAATGAGTGTGCATAAGAATGATGTGGATAAAAATTCAATATGAATTAGATCTAGGAGGATCTCTGATGTGTCTTGGAAGTAAAAGCAACAAAATAGATAGAAGAAAAATCAGAAATGCAAATATGGGGGATGATTTTTTATTATTTCTTTAACAATAATGAAATATACAATTGATTTATTATTCTAGTGCTAGATCGGCTCTCCCACAAATCATAGTCGCTGTTAGGAAACTCACACCAAACCCTATAAATAAAACTCAGCACTTATCCCATTCTAACCCTGGACTAGGGGTGTAAGTGAGCCAAGCCGGCTCGAGCTTGACTCGTTTATGGGCTTGCGAGACGAGCTTATCGAGCTCACGAGTCGAGCTCGAGCTCGAACTCAAGCTCGTTTGATAAACAAGCTCGAGTTCAAGCTTGATAGGGCTCGGCTCGTGAGCTCGCGAGCCAACTCGTATCATTTTTAGGTAATTTAAGTAATTACTCTTATATTTAATTTAAATCTAAAAAATAGATGACTGTACCGCTGTAGTTAGTTTTTCAAAAACATATAATTTAAATAATTAATATTTTTCAAGAACTTGTTGTTAGTTTTTCAAACACAAATAATTTAATGTAGCTGTACCGCTGTAATTAGTTTTTTAAAAAAATTAAATGGCTGTACCGGTGTGTATGCTCCAAAGAAAAATGGTTGTCAAATGTCAATGCAATGCACTAAATGTTTTTATGCAAGAGAAGATTAAAAACGGGTGTTTGCAGTGCCGCTGGATTTGGACCATTGGCCATTTGTTGTCAACCGCGTGAACGCCTTCTTTTTTCCAAGGGAAAAAGCAAAGGATCGCGTGGATTCGGGCATCTGCAGTGCCGTGTGGACTAGACCGCCGACCTCGACTTTGGCATATGCAATCCTGTTGGGCGGGAAATTACAGTGGGCGGGAAATCGTAATCGAGCAGCTCGATGAGCTTGTTTTTGTGTCGTGAGTTGAGATCGAGCTCGGTGGTTGATTCGCGAGTCTAGCTTGAACACCCCTTGACTCGAGTCCGACTCAACTCGTTTACACCCTACCCTAGACAAAACTCCCCCTTAAATAGCCCTCATTCACCTTAAACACATTTGAAACCTTCCTAAACAATATAAACACGATTAGGAAACCTTCCTAAACATCATAAATGCAATTAGGAAACCTTCTTAAATAGCCCCCCCTTGATTCCTAAAAACACATTATCCTCAAGGTGGAAGGATGAGAACTGTCTCCTGCTCATCTTGTATTACTCCAATGTGGCTTCGTACTCCAACAGATCTTTCCACTTGATTAGTACCTCTTGTGCTCTTGTTTCTCCTCGGCGCCCCCCTTCTACTCCTAGGGGTTCCAAAATGATCTCCATGTCTTCTGTCAAAGTCGGGGGTAGAGAAGACGGTTTGTGATCTCCTATTGCCTGTCTTAGCTATGAGACATGAAATGTTGGGTGTAATGCCGATGAAGATTGTAATCCCAATTGATAGGCCACTGCTCCAATGCGCTGCAAAATCTCATAAGGCCCAAAGTATCATGGGGACCATGGTTTTAAAAATCAAATTGTACCTAACAAGGGACCAGGTGGCACCGGGAGTCGGCCAGCCAGCCAGTTCGGGCTTTTAATATAACAAGTCTCGCTTGAAACCAAAAAAGAAACCGCATGGAATTACAGTTGAACCGCTCGACCGATGAACTGGCTCTGATTCTCCAAAATTGGATTTTTAAATCTGGTTGTTTCTATATTTCATTCGCATTCAATGCTATCTCTACCCCGTTTCAGCTTCCATTGTCATCCCCATCCGAAGCTTCTCATATGTGAAATCGGTGGTGAATCTTCCATCCTCGCCGGCCATCAAAGCTTCTCGCCGGCTCAGGCATCCAATCGTCCCTCGTCGACTCCTTACACAACGATCTCCATTCGTTTGGGAGTAAGATATCTTCAAACATTATATATATATATTTTTCAAATTTGAGTATATGTTGTACTGCTTTTCAAATTTGTTAAGTAATGTTGTTGTTTGCATCATTTTAGTTTGTATACCATGATTTATTTGGTTTAGGACAAAAAAATGGAGAAACCATAGTTCTTGAGGAGAATGCTATTTTGTTCCAGTCACAAGTCAATAATCTGATATAAACAGATCAAAATGCACTTCATAAAAGGTCATTATTTAAAAGGTGAATTGATATCAAATGTATGGTGTATTGTGGCGGACTTTATAGCAAGGTTGCTGAAAGTGAAGAAATTGGCGTAGGAGAAGAATCGAGGAAGTGAAGAGAAGCGCGATAAGAAAATTGAAAAGTTCCGACAGACCCATGAAATTTAAACAAACCTGCTTATGCATTAAAAAGGCTAGTTAGTATCCATAAGGTATTTAGGTAACAATTCATCTAAATCTCGACAGATTTCCTGCTAGAGTATTTAAGAAATTAATTTCTAGAAAGTAAAAACGATATAAAATCGTATGATGAATTGAGATGAATTCTTAGCGTCTTACAATACTTTAAAAAATGATATCAATCAAGTTTTTAATAGATCTAATTTGATTGTATGTTATAAACCATGAACCAATAGCTTGAATTTTTCTTTTCATCTTCACTTTCAAAATTCACATCCAACACATCATCTACATCATAATCTTATGCTAGAAGCTACAATGAGTAATAAATCATGTTCCCTACTAATAGTTGTCATTATATATTATTATGAAATGAGGGAAGAGAATTGGATGCCTTCTTCCACTTAATTACTATTGTCTATTTTTAGGTAATGATAATGCTTTTTATAATATTATTAAAAAAAAAAAGATTTTATTTATTCATATTTTATGCTTCATGATTGCTTATTTTATTTAATTTGTTATCACATATTTGATATGATTATGCCATTATTGTATTATTTTTAAATAAAATTAATATTTATTACATCATCCAGTTTAACATGATACAAAGGCGCATGAAATTTCACATGTACAACAAAAATAGCAACATTCAAGAGGTAAACTTGTATACACATTCAACAATAATAATTCAAAAAATAATTTGTGAGTAATATTCATAACACCAATTTAAAGCAATTATTGTTTTGTGACACTTTCTATCTATGTCAACATACCCATTGAAATGCTTAGAATATTATACAACTCAAAATACTTGCTGAAAATTTATATTTTTCTCAAGATTGTGAAAATCTGATTGTACAACGAACCGGAAGAATAAGAGGTTCTTGGTTCGGCCGGTCAAACCGGGGTCGAATCAGATGACGTAATGCAACTTTTTTAGTCCCACATCATAGGAGAGTTCGAGATACTTGTCTTTGACTCTTTATATAGAGTGAAGTACACAATTTTTTTATAATAAAATACATCATGTGAGATGACATGCATATATTATGGTATAATTAATCTCCATATTTAATAAAAATATTTTAAAAAAATAAAATAATTTAATAAATTAAAATATATTTTTTATAATTTAATTAATACAAAATAAATTTTTATAGAACTGACCGATTCTTCTCAACCTGGACCGGTTCAACGGTTCATCGGTTGAATTGTTGGTTTTTGCTGGTTTAGCCCGGTTCGATGTGAAGCCCATTTTTAAGCTGGATCGGACCGAACCATGAGAAGAAGTATGAGATGGGCCTAGAAAGTTGCCATGGAGGTTTGTCATGCGATTTACACCAATAGTAGTGTTTGCAAGGTTGCATCTTATTTTATCATTATATATGGTCTCGCCTTCGCTCTCTTACACTTGAGCCATTTGTAAATAATGAGAGGAAGATATTGAAAGAGATGGTAAGTAAAAGAAATTGTGGCTAAGGTGGGGGGTTATTGTGAAGGAATAGTCAAGCTTGGATGTGTCGTTCACAAGAAAATAGAGAGATGGGGAGAGGGATGTGAGTTGCATCACCAAGAGAGGGAGAGGAAGAGTAAGAGATAGAGTCGTCGTTCTTTGGTATCATCAGATATGGATGTCGGGCCTGCTAATGCTTTAACAGCCCTGTTTGGGAAAACTATCTTGCTAGCTCGTTGAGGGACTCTCAGTTACTACTAATCTTATATTTCCCTTTATCATTAAACTATACCTTATGTTACTCATGATGGTTCTAAAGTGAAGGTTGTTGATGATTCTGGCTCTCTTTAGTCTCAAGATTCTGTCTAGTGGATAAAATTTTTCAGCTTGTGTTTTCTCAAAGAGATAGAAATCGAAAACATATTTCTTAGTTCTCCCAGGTTTAATAGATTTTAATCTATACATAATATTTCTAATTCTATCAAATAATATGAGGTTTCCTGTTTGTTTGTTTTCAGCTTTTATTCGTGTTTTCCTTGCTTTTTACTAGCTGTTAGACACTTGTGCCTGATGTTCTAATTATCAAGTAGGAAGTGCCTGTGGGGATCAGGGAAACGTACTTAGGCTCTTGCAATACAATATGTTTTGATTTGTCGTTATTGAAAATTGATTTGCTTAACTCTACTATATCTACTTGATTTTTTTTTGCAGGCATATCTTATTGAACGAAAGCCAGAAAATGCTGCTGCTGTCATTAGTCTTCTTTACCGGGTAGGTTTATTTAACATGTTCGATTGCAATCAATAGATTATGGTTCTTTCCACTCAAATAGAAACTTACATTGACACCCATACTAGTATTTTTTTTTTTACTCAAGCCATATGTTTGCTAGCAATATTTAACATGTTTACCAGCTATGAACAGTTTTAAGAATTTTGTGAAGTTGCAGCTTAATGCTGAATTTTCAAATTAAGATCATCTCCAACTGAACTCCATACCACCGTATGCCGTCCGCCATTTGCTCCATTCGAACTTCAAATCGCACGTCAAATTCCGGTAGGTGAACAGTGCGACGCCAAATATTGGCGTCAAACTGTTCACCTGCGCAAAAAAAAATTCAATGCAGGATTTGCCGAAGAAGCACACGAAAGAGGAGAATAATTCGTCAAAGATGGTTACATTCGCAAGAAGCGCGCGAAGAAGAAGAAACGACATTCGATTGGAGAAGAATGATTTCATTTTGAAGTTTTACTGCATTTTGGAGTGGAAAATGGGTTTTTCGGTTGGAGATGCCCTTAGAAACTATCCTTTTTACAATCTATTTAAGTGCTATACCATTACTGGCTTGTGGCTTTTGTTATGACCTTAATTGATGCTTGTTTAAACTATCTAGCCTACATAGCCTATATTTTATTTGTTTTTATTTACTGGGATTAAAAGAAGTTTCTCTAATATTACTATCCTGCAACATGTTATTGCATAGATTAGTTCATTGCTTGTCTGGTATTTTACTGAGAATGTCTGGCAATTAAACAACCGGTATTTTTCACCCTGGTTTAAAAAGATGTGGGAACAGTTATGCTGCATGATCAGCTTAATAATTTTAATGATGGTAGTCAGAGATAGAGTTATTAAAGCATCTATTTTTGAAGTCTTAACTCTCATTGTGATGACTTGACTATAGCTAATTTCTGATATTAATGGTTCTGATCTAACCTACAGGAATTGCCCGATGCTAAGAAGCCATTTGTTGCAGGTGAAGTTCAGAAGTTAGTTAGTGAGTGGCCATCTGAGTTGTTAAAGAGGAAGAAGGGAAAGGAAAAGGAGGTAAATAATAAGAGTTGATAACTAAAATGATCCCAAAACTTCTGAGATGTGTCTATTTTGATCCCGAAATTTTCCAGTTATTTAATTTAGTTCCTTAACTCACTAAATCTAAACCAATTTGATTATATCATTAATTTTACCATTTTTTGTATGGAAATCGGGGACGGAAGCTTTTCATAAACTTATTTTGGACTTTTTATGATCAATTTCATTATTTTGATTTAATATTAAGCTGTAAGTTTCACTCTGAAAGTAAATCTGAACCAATAAATGATTTGCGTGAATGGAAAGCATATACAGTTTCTTTTAATCGAAAGTTTCAAACAAAAACATAACCGAATAATGATATTTCCTAACATTGATAAGAAAAAAAAAAGAATACAGATATTATGTTTTTTAGGGTTTTCATGAGGGCAAATTTTGTTTTTTTTCAATGTTGTTATCTTGTGAAACATTTGGATTTTGCTCAGGCTTAATCTGAATTGTGGGTTAAAATGGTACCCAATAATGTTTGTCAGTTTGTTTAAACCCTTTTAAACAAAGTATGATTGATTAGATATGCATCATTTAAGCCAATCCAATAAAGCTCGTTGTGGTTCAGCTTGTCATTGAAAAAGTAGATTTTAACATCAAAAGCAGAAAAACATTTGATGTAGAACTGAATGCTTTAAATGAATGAAATAAGAATTTGCACGAGTTCTTGAATTAAGCACTTAAGATTACCACTATTAGCAACCAAAACAACGATTGAAAACAAAAGAGGGGTGCCTACGTTTAGGCTAAGCCACATGTCAAACACTTGGAGATTCAAAACAAAGAGAAATTTAATAACATGCAAAGTAAATAGTTTTCAATAAAATTCCTAATCTAACAACTAGATTAGAAGCATAGAAAGTGCATTTAATCCTACGTTTACGAAGCTTTGGCAATGACGAAGCAAAATCCTACGTTTACTAAGCTTAGGCAAAGGTGAAGCTCGGCTCTTTGTGAATCTCTATCACCTACAAGATTAGGGGGATTAGAAAAGTAAATAAAAAGGGGAATAAGTTCACCCTTATAAAAAACCCGGAAACAAGTAGGTGATGTGTTGACAAAGTTTGTCGTCGTTTCTCGTGAAGGTTCAATTGGAGGAGAAGAGATCTCTTCCGAGCGCCGAAGTGTTGAATATATTGATCCTTTGATCGCCTTGAAGAATCCTTCGAGAAAGAGGGGCTTCCTTCAACAATTCAAGTAGGAGAAGGTAAGAGGAGGATGGCCGGCCAATGGATGAAATTTGAAGAAGAGTTAGGTTCAGAATTTTGGAATCAAGTTTAGAGTTCGGAAGGGGGACAAGTGGGAGGGAAGGCTGAAATCACTTTCCCAATCAAGGTTCTTTGATTTGGAAAGAGTTTGAACAGCCTAAGGGGAGGAGAGGGGAGGCGGGTAGGGTAGGGATGCTGGGTAATTTAAATCCTAAAGAGGGGACTTGAGTTTGGAAAGAAATAAAGAGGTGGGGACCATGTAGAGGCCGGCGGCATCCATAGAGGGCAGGGGTTTGAGGGAAAGTAATTACTCTTCCCTGATTTGGGAAATCAAATTAGGAAGGAGGGAACTTCAATCCAATTCAATTCAAAATTCAAATTGAACTTAATTTAGGAACTTTCCAAAAATAGGTATCTTAAATTAGGGAAAAAATTTCAACTTTCAATTGCTTTGAATTTTGAAATTAAACCTTTCCAAATTAAGAGGAGATAATTATGGAAAGAATTCAGGGTTTGATTTGAATTTTGGAGGGAGGAGGAGGGTGATGAGGCCAGCCGCTAGTTGGCCTTGGAAGGAGAAGGGTGGGGGTGAAGGTGACGTTGGGTTGGTCGGGTGAGGGTGGAGAAGGAATTGGGGTTATCCAGTGGTGAGTGAAAGTTGGATGGTGACCGGCAGCTTAAAGAGGTGGGGAGGGATTTCAAAACCGACGGCTTGTTGAGGGAGGAATGAGGAGGAAAAATGATAGAGAAGGTAGAACCACGATCCCGACCATTTCTAAGGTTGGTGGGTGATCCGTTTTCCCTCTCCTAGGGATTCATCTCTCAAACTCTCAAGCTCTCATAAAAACTCATGCAAGGAAGAAATCTTAATCAATCATTCATTCATTCATTAACTTCAAAAGAAAATATAGAGGGCTATAGAAAGCCTCATACAATGGACTCAAAGACAAAAGACAACAATGCCTCTTGGGCTTACATACGATATCCATTAGTAAAAGGGTACAACGGAAAAGCAAATAAAATGCAACAACATAAATAAGAAAATACATAGAATAAATAAAAAATACAACGACTCAATCGTGGCCGTAGATCGGTGACCACGCCTCTGATAAACCTTCCATGATCTGATGTTCCCATCAACATTAGTCTTAGGCTTCGTTTGGGACGGCTTTCTTTCTGCTTCTTAAAGCAGCTTTCTGCTTCAGAAAGAAAGCCATCTCAAACGAAGCCTTAGTATGTTTCCTCTTCAATTTCGATATTAAGAAATGTGAAACATTTTATCATTGTGATCAGGCACTACTGGAATCCTTGCGAAGCGACATACCGGTGATGATTTCTTCTTTGCCGAACATAGGAATTGATGCCACTGTAAATCTGGATGAAATAAAATGCTGATAACTGCAATGCCAACAAACATGAAAGTCACCCAGTTTCCATCATCATCACTGCAAGCAACAGAATGTTTTCTGTAGCTATAACTATAACATTGCAATGTTCAACATTCTCAAGAGATGGCACCCTAACTATCACTTCAGTCTTTGCTACAGAACTCAGCTTGGAACTATTAATATTTGTTCAATTTGATAATGGTTTTTGCATTGTTGTTTTTTAGCTGTTTTGCTGTATCAATACAGTGAAGCTTGTTTCTGAACTAGTAAATAGATGATGTATCCTTTATACTCAAAAACCCAAATTTTGGCACACCGTATGGTTATCTATATATCAACATTAAAATTATGGCGGCGATTTGAAAAGCAAAGTAGTAAGAAAGTTGTCCCAAACTAAGGCTTTGTTTGGGACGGCTTTCTTACTGCTTCTTAAAGCAATTTTTTAATTCAAAAATTAAAATTTTAATACTAAAAAACTGCTTTAAGAAGCAGTAAGAAAGCCGTTAGTCGTTCCAAACAAAGCATGAGTTGGTTTTTTTATTGCTTCTTAAAACAGTTTTTTAGTACAAAAATTTATAGTTCAATTTTTGTATTTAAAAGCTGCTTTACAACATAATAAGAAAGTTGTCCCAAACGAAGCTTAAGGTTTCATTTGGGATGGCTTTCTTACTGCTTTCTAAAACAGCTTTTTAGTATAATTTTTTTAATAATTGTACTAAAAGCTGCTTTAAGAAGGCGTAAGAAATCCGTTCCAAACAAAGCGTAAATCCAAAACAAAGCCTAAGTCCAACAATTATAACTTATATGTTCGAATTGACTTCATTGTGCACAGCATGCTTATATGGGTTTTCAAGTTAGATGTGAATGAGAGCATTTCAAGTTCTGCCATCCTAGTTCAAGCCACCCAAGCTTTCTTTTGTAATGAAGGTTTATGATTGCTTCACATAGACTTCTTCCTCAACGCAGTTCAAGCCACCAAGCTTTCTTTAAAAACATTTTATGTTATTTAAATTTTAATTCGTGTATTTACATGCTATCATCAGCTTAATTATCCATTAAGGGGCTATTTGGTTTTACCTCGAAAGGAATCCACTATATTTGAAAAGCTTTAGAGTTGTGTGAATAAGTGTAAAATAAATTCATGTGATTATTTTTTTTATGGTGGTCGGTGCATGAGTTATAGTGGCCAGTGGTGGTGGGATGTGGTGGCCAACAGTGACGGATGGTTGTTGGTGGTGGCGGTTGGAGGCGGGTGGGGGCCGGCGACTAGGGCTGCAAACGAACCGAGCCGAGCTGAGTGTGTGAGTGTACATGTTTGTGTTCATTTAATATCAGCTTGTTCAAGTTTGGTTCATGTTTGTTCGAGCTTTAGCGTTTGTGTTCATGTTTGATTCATTTAAATTAAGGAGTGTTCATGTTAGGTTCATGTTCAGTTAATGTTCGTTCGTTTAGTGTTTTTTGAACCATTTCACGAACATATTTAATGAATTTTTTTAACTATCAAATAAACACGTTCATGAACATATCTATGAACAAACACATTTATAATAAAAGCAATTGTCTATGTAACAAAGGTAATGATTATTTATATTTATTAATTCTATAGTCAAATATTAATTATTTTTATCGAGCTTATTCACGAGTTCAAAATCGAACACGAATCAAGCTTCTTATCAAGCTTAATGTCGAGCTTGTTCACGAACTTCAAATGATATTGTTCACGAACATAAATGAGCCGAACACATTAGTGTTCAAATTTGTTTATTTAAGAATCGAGTATTTAAAATATTGTTCAAGTTTGTTTGTTTAGTTAATTAAACGATCACAAACGAGCTTTAATCGAATCGAACAACGAGTAGCTCGTCGAACGTTTGGTTCGCTTGCAGCCCTACGGGTGATGGGTGGCCACAATGGTGATAAATTTATGTTGTATTTAAAAAACATCCAAATTGGAGTAACTCTAAATACATCATGAATTTGAGGGCTTTTTCAAATACATCAAAATTTTTCAATTTTTTATTTTACTTCAAATCAAATACTAATATTTTCAAAAATAATCAATATATTTGTAATATTTTACACCAAATTTACTTTAAATCAAACCACTCTAAGGCTTCGTTTTGGACGACTTTCTTATTGTTTTTTAAAGCAGCTTTTAGTTTAAAAATTTTTTAAATCAGAAATTTTATATTAAAAAATTGCTTTAAAAATAATAAAAAAATCGTCCTAATTGAAGCCTAATGCTTCGTTTGGGACGGCTTTTTTACTGCTTTCTAAAACAGAATTTTAGTATAATTTTTTTTTTATTTTTGTATTAAAACTCTGTTTTAGAAAGCAGTAAAAAAGCCGTCCCAAACGAAGCATTAGGCTTCAATTAGGACGATTTTTTTATTATTTTTAAAGCAATTTTTTAATATAAAATTTCTGA